TCCACAGGGCAAGAGTGCTATTTTTAATATGAAAGTAAAGAAATCTTGTATTTGGGCTAAATTTATGAATGTATTATTTGCTGAAGCATAAAGTCAAATTCACTCTTATTTGAAATTGGAAGTACTGTAATGATTTTTAGGAGCTTTTTTAAGGACCCCATACTCTGTACTTGGTGGTTGTGATAAAGCTCCTTATAATTGCTGTGATGGCATGAAGAAAAAACTTGAGCTAGATAGTTTTAATTTGTTATTGTTAATGATGTTAATTTAAACTCAGAACCACCTTGAGTCTCCACTTATTAGAAGAAACTGTGTATTTTACAAAAGGATTTAATTGCAGGAAGCCTTAAAACAGAAAGTCTGTTTTCCCACACAACACTTACAGCACTGTTTTGCTGCGGAGCCAAGGCAGTTCTCGTGACCTTTTGAAACCAAGCTGTGTCTTCTTTTCTTTTGGTGCAGTGCTGCTGCAGGTAGCCCTGGGTGCGTGGCATTTGTGCACAAGGTGGAATGCAAGTGGTAGGCTGTAAAGATGCACAGCCAAGTCCTCCCTATAAGATAAATGGTATAATCACGTTTGCGTAGTGCTATCTCTGTGTAGGCAAGGTGATGGATAAACCCTGGCAATGATCTCCACATCTCCAGAGTTTCTCATACCGGAGCTAATGCCTTCTTTGTATTTTGTGTGTATTCTAAGTTAGTAATTTTGAGCTGAGTCTCAGGACAACTCTCTGAAGACATGTCTCTGGATTTCATTCTGAAAAATGGGAACACAGTTTATTTTGCTTGCAATGAAGATTCCTGTAAGGTAACATCAAAGCCAAGAAGTATTATTGCTAGAGAAGTATTATTGCTAGCTGAATCTCGCTAGTGCATGGGCTGGTGTTCCTTGCCCATATTTTTGTGTGGAATACATTGAAAGCCCCATGGAATACTCTCTCGAGATGGAAATACCATGTTTAGAAACAAGTTATATCTTTGTACCCAGAACTAGTCTGTAGGTAACTCCTGGGTGAACTCAGCATCCAATATACATTCCCCATTTTCTAAGTAACGGTTATAAAGGTAGTTCCCCTAAGAGTAGCCATGTGGTTTCTGTGCCCCTCCTTCACCTGCCTCAGCCTGGTACCCAGGGAGAAGACCTCCTCCTGTAGTCGTGAGACTTGTGGGCTGGTGCTGGCTGTTTGTTTGATACCAAAAGACAGATTTCACCCTCCTGAGAGAAAGCACTTGCTGTGCTGAAAGAGGCTAACAGGAATTCCAGTTTAGTTCAAAGGTAATTTAAAAGAAGAAAAGCTCTGAGGCTGTTGTGCTTTTCCCAAGGCAGAGAAACACACAGGATGTGTTTTCTCTGAGACTGGCACAAGGCAGAAAGTTTGCCTTTGCCCTCTCTTGACAGACAGGAAAGCAGACCCCCTTGGCTAAAACAATGTTCTGCTTAGTTCTTCCCTGGCCAGGACTCAGTAAGTGAGAGAAAAGGGGAGCAAGTGTGGAGGGGAAAAGAGATACTTGCCGTCTGCAGCCTGGCTGAGTTCCTGGCAAATCAGTGCTCTTGACTGAGAAACCAGAGCTGCAGCCTCCTCAGGATTTATATGCTGAGCATGGTAAGTGGCGACTGCAATCATTTTGAATGAGGGCAGTGCTGCAGACAAAGCCAGCACAGTGGTATCGGGGACGGGATTTGAAATAGGGAGCACAAACATGTTATGCGCACTGATGCAAAAGAAAGGATTATTTTCCCCACTCTTATCAAGCATGGCATGTGAATTTTCCAAGCTTTTCAGAACCTGCTTTTGAGAGCTGTGCAGTGAAATGCAGATGGAAGGGGTGGTTGTGAATAACCCACGCTCCTCAGCTGGAGCTGCTGTGCAGAACACGGAAAGTCCCAGGGAGCATTTGTGCTGTGCTTGTTCCCAAAGACAATATGGAAGAGCTGGAAGCATCTTTTGCAAACTGGTACTTGCTGATTTGAAAATTAAGGGGAAACTAATTTGCAGGTGCTTTTACTAGCCAAGGAGAAAGGCAACACTGAAAGAGAAAAGAGTGTTCTTGGCAGAAAAACTTAAATAGATGTGGAAAACTAATATCAATTGCAAATATATATATATGTATGCATAATATGTATGTACGTATAAAATATTTAGCTTCATTTTTGCTCCAATAAACATTTTGAATAAAAATTTTCTGACAGCAATGGATGAAGAAGGATGGGTCTGTCTGCTAAACTTCCAAAAAGACACTGATTTTCCAATTTGTGATCCTGGCTCTGCCTTGAACAGGCCTTGGGGCTCGTTTCAGAACATGCACTCAGCACCTCTGCATCTCCATACAGGCAAAGGAAGGAAAGAATTTTTCCCCCCATATGCTTATGATAATTTGTTGACTGCTGGAGTAGGATCCCACACTAGAAGGGCCTTTGGTCTAACTGAATGTGGAGAAGCTTATGTCCTTATATCGTGTTCTCTATGTATATATCTAGAAAAGAAGTTGAAGTTGTTAACTTCCTTCCCTGAACTCCAGAGGGGAAGAATCAGAAACACAAGGAGGCTTTTAGAAAACCACTTCATCATTCTCATCATTCCTGGGGAGACTGAAGCACATGGTAAAGTTTACCAGAGCCCCACTTGCCTCAAACCTGTCTGATCCACTCCATTCCTCAGCTGGGTGGCAAAGACAACTGGGTCCCTGAAACATGTAGTTCCAGTTGGCCACTGAGGTCAAAGATGATGGAGAGGAAAGGCAAAACCAAAAGGACTGGTTGCAACCCAGAGCAGCCATCCATGCTTTATACAGTGAGGAGCCCCAAGAATCCGCTTGCTCTGCCCATGTGTAAACACAGCCCTGTCCCTAGCAGATAAAAAAA